TTGGTTATCTGCACGAGAAATATCCTCAAATTGCGTAGGGCTCGAATAGGTGGATAATTCCTAACCACTCACAAGGCTGGATAAAGAGGGATGGAGGCAGGCTTCAAATCTGCCTCGTCCAATTACATTTTCTTGAAAGCTCGCTGAAACAGGGTATTCACGACACTCCCATTGTCCACCAACATCTTGTGGACTTCGCACCGGCCTATTTCAGGCGCGATGACGAGAGCGTCCTCATGAGGATGATGCAATCACAGTGCGTTTTTCTCAGACAATGTGATCTCCTCCTCTCTGCAAACCTTAGCGAGTCGCGGTGCCGTGTTCATTACACTTATTGGGTCATGACGGGCTTCCCGAACATACCTTTCTTGGGCACCTCGAGAATTTCCCACGAGGTGTGGTCCTCCAAAGATGATCCCCACACAATAGAGTCATTTGCGACCACGACGCTTCTTCTCTGGTTCCTCTTGATCTTTCACCCAAACAGGAGTTAGACCATTGACATATTCTTTGAAGTGCTCCTGCTTGATGAGGTCTTCGATTGCCTACTTGAGAGCTCGACACTCATTGGTGTGATGCCCATTATCCCTATGATAGGGGCAATACTTTTTATTGTTTCTGGTTGAGGGTGGATTCTTCATAGGCTTTGGCTCTCCGAGCAAATCAGCCTCCTTTTACTTATCCACAATGGCTGATACTGAGGCATTCAGAGGAGCATATTGATTCTTGTCGCGATCGCGACGAGGAACTGGGGCATAAGATTTTTTGGGCTCAAATCGCTGCTTCTTTCCTTTCCGCTGATCATCGTTAGCCTATCTATTATTAGTCCTATTCTCCCCTCGGTTGGGGGCACTGCTCGAGGGACCGGGGTCTTGGCAATTGAAAGAGGCCACATAATTTTAAATTCGGAGGTATTTTTTGGTGAGGTTGTAAAAGCAAGTGAGGGAAACATCATCCTGGGATTGCAGTTCCTTTCACAAGTCTGTCTGTGGGCGAACTCCTGCGATAATGAGAGTTCGAACGGATTCTTCGGGAGTATGAGCCACTTTGTGGAGTTCCCTGTGGAATCTGTCTATGTAAGATTGGAGGGACTCATCCCTCTCCTACCGTATGTTGCTCAGATAGCTCAGCGGCATTGAGAACGGATTTTTCGGGAGTATGAGCCACTTTTAGGCCATGAGCTGACTGATCCCACGGGAAGCGACCTGAACCAGCGCTTGGCATGGGCAGTTAGGGTTACTGCTAAGCAACGACATTTTACCAAGTCGGAGACTTGGTAGAGTTCCATGAGGTCGTTGAATTCATACAGGTGATCCTGCAAGTCTGAATTCCCATCGAATGCTTGCATGTCGGGCATTCTGAATCTCGATAGGAAAGGAGCAGCTAACACTACTGGAGAAAAGAAAGACGCCTCTATGACCTTCCCACGATCATTTTGTTGAGCCTTAAGCTGATCCAACGCTCGCTGTAGTTCCTCAATCTGAGGCAGCGGAGCTGCTTGGGAATCACTTTCTGCAACATAGGTTTGACCCTCACGATTGGGATTGAGGAAAAACGGCAAATCGGGCTCTTCTTCTACTCGGCCGGAAGCTCCGACAAACCTTGACACACACTGGCTGGAGCTGTGTGATAGCATTGAGTGATTCAGAGAATTTTCCCAATCTTTGTGATGGTCCACACCGACCCACGGATGACAGGGATCTCTCGCACGACAACGGTCGAGGTCGTCATTTTGGCGATATTGAGAATCTCCCTGCCTTGCACTTTTATGGGAGTGCTCATGTTGCAACATGTCGTCGAGTCGCAATGCCACAGGTATTCTACCCAGTGTGCGACCGGTGTTCGCTGGTCCCTTGGAGCCCTCTGTTCCTCTGTTCGTCACTTGCTTTCCCTTTCTTTGACCCGCTGCAAAGCGCGCTGTATGGGCTTTTGTCCTTTTTCGCGCTTTCACGCAACCTGCAGGTGTTTTTGGCGATGGCACCGCCTAATTAGATTCTGGTGGCACGACCCGATCCAATCGGTCTAGCCTTTGGCTAACCGTTTGGAGAGTATTATTGAACCTCTCTAGGTAACTCATGACGGCTAGGTCGAGCTGCGAGCTTGAAGGAATATCCGCCATGATACTCTGTTGGACTGGCGGCACTTCAGGAGAAGTGTCTTCTTGTACCTAGGGGATTTCCTCATTGTCATAGTCGGTTCGCTCAGGTTCGAAACCGCGGGCCATTTGCTGATTGGTATGATCGATTAATTAGAGATTTCTGATGAAGAGCAAATACTAAATCAGACTCTCCTTCTAGCGCCAAACTGTTGATGCTTGAGTTTGACACCAACAACTCGCATGTGCAAAGTGTTAAGCGGACTTAGAAATCACATGTGATAAGGAAACGTGAAATAAAACAATGAATAAGAAGCAATATTTAAAGTGGTTCGGATGCTCAAAAGCAAATCTTACGTCCACTGCTATTGTATTAATAGATAGGTAAAATCAAGTCGCGTGTAGTGAGCTGAGTTATAATCTAGAGAGAATACAAAGAGAGAGAGAGAATGTGTAAGCTATTTTAGACTAAAATTAGCTAATCTCGTAGATGAGAGGGATGTCCTCTATTTATAGTGGGAGAGTTCAAGGTAATGATTACAAGTCTGCAAGTGGGTAGGTGTCGTGCAAATCATTCTTTATATCCCATTGGTTATCTGCACGAGAAATATCCTCAAATTGCGTAGGGCTAAGACAGGTGGATAATTCCTAACTACTTGCAAGCCTAGCACTCACCTATTACACTGACAGGAACCATAATCCTTGCGTCACTGTGCGACATGGTAACGCCTGTACGGCACAAAACCTTCCTGAACCCTGATTGGCTCTTGCTGATGAAAGTTCACATCAGCCCTAACTTTTCAGGCATAACATTATAAAATCGATACATTGTAGATAACAAACCACATCCATATTCAAACATGCAGACACAACCACGAGCATGCATGTGCACAAACAATCCACAAAAACGAAAGGGAATCCAAAACCAGAGGCTGACGGGGATGAGATCAAAGGGCGCCTATAGTCCTCTTCTAAAAACCGGTGTACAGATTCCACATTCCACAATACCATGAGGCAACCCAGTAGCTGGTTCGTAACATGGACGTGATCAACGTTTCTCACAAGCCAAATTTAAACACGTCCTCTTTTATCCATGCGCTTTTTTACTTCATGGAACAATTATATCTCTTTCGTGGGTCCCAGTGTGCAAAAATGGGTGTGAAAATGCACACTGGAGCGTGAGATTTTGCACACTGCAGTGTGCATTTTCACATTGCAGTGTGCAGAAATGGGTGCAATTTTTTGTAGGTTCTAACTTCTAACTAATAACTTTCATTTATATTATTTAATTTAACTTACATTATTCAATTTAGTTTGTTAAATTTTATATTACATTACTCAATCTAGTTTACAATCAAAACATTTAACTAGTAACTTTATTTTTGCTTGCAATTTTTTGTAGATGCTAGTTATGCTGATGATGATAATGACGAGAACAACGACGAAGATGATGTTGATGTTGATATAAGTAATTTTGCTTCTAAATTTGGTGCCCAAAGTTAGCCTTGAATTAAATGCAAATGTAATAGAAATGTAAGATGTTGGTTTCATTTTGATTATGTTGTTTTAATTTATTTTTAAACTACTTGTTACTTTATAACTTGGTATGTTGTAGACTTGTAGTTTTAATTTCATTTTAGATTTGAATATATTTGTTATAGGAAAATTTTTATTATCACAGTAAAGATTAAAATCTGCATTTTTTTTTTTTTTTTAATTTTTTTGTTTTTTGCTGACATCATGCTGATGTCAGTAATGTCAGCATACTGACATCAGCATAATAACGTCACGATTCGACCTGAAACTTGTGACCCAGTGGCTTGGCCTGGTTGGCCCCCGGGTCGGGTTTTAAAACCACGGTATGAACACTGCTAGCTGTCCTTATATAATACTGAGCTACCTCACTACTCTCCCTACAAGTGAAGAGTCGGGGAAATAAGAGTTGACATTAATGGAAGATTTGGGTGCAGTTTCTGAACCCTCTGTTCAAACAGAAAAAGAAGATGATAAATCAAAATCACCAGAGGAAGAGTTTCTGCAGCCTCCAGATTCTAAGCCAACAGATCAGCCTGACGATCTTGAACCTTGGACAAGTGGGCTATGTGCTTGCTGCAATAATCCATGCAATGGTGATACTCTCCCTCCCTCTCTCTCTCTCTCTCTCTCTCTCTCAAACTCAGTGGTTTCATTTTGAACTGCATAAATGTCTTATCGCCACTATGTATCTATTGCTCAAAGTCAGCCTTGACTTGAATTAAATAGAAATGTAATAGAAATATAGGAATGTTGGTTTCCTTTTGATTATGTTGTTTTAATTTAATTTTAAACTACTTGTTTCTTTGCAATACTTTCATCCAGAATTCCGTTCACAACAAAGAAATTATGTCACACACCTATTAATAATATTTGACTTTTCCTCGGAAACATTTTGCTCTTTACTTTCTCTACCATCTGCCTGCCAACAGTTTCTGTAAAATGAACAACTCATGGCTGAAGATGGATGTTTTTTTTTTTTTTTTTTTTTNCGGTTCGGTTAACCGGATTATCCCACCCCTAGAGGGGAGCCCTCTATTTATAGTAGGAGATTTCAAGGTAATGATTACAAATCTGCAAGTAGGTAGGTGCCGTGCAAATCCTTCTCTGCGTCCCAGGGGTTGCCTGCCCGAGAGATATCCTCAACTTGCATAGGGTTTGGACACGTGGGCGATCTCTAACAACTCGCAAGCTTGAAACTCACCTACTGTGCTGATAGGAATCATCCCACTTGCGCCATTGCGCGACGTGGCCGCGCCTGGACGGCACAAAACTTTCCTAAGCCCTGATTGGCCCTTGCTGACGAGGTTCCACGCTAGTCCTAACTTTTCAGACATAACATTTCTAATGGTATTTATGTTCTACATCAGCAACTTAAGTTAGTAATGGATTCAATCATTTGGGCATTTCGGCACACTGAACGGAATATTGCTGAAACTGGGTTAAATCTTTAATTGGAGATGCTGAAGAACTTCCAGGTATCATTTTTATTGCCGTCTTGCATATTCTTGGTGGATTGAAATATTTTCCATGTGAGACGCTTAACATTTTTTGTGGTTTCAATTTTGCAGGCTTCTGAGTTCTGTAACCAATTCTACCGGACATATTTTTTGACAATCGAGCAAGAAATATTTGCTGTCTTGACAGACACATTTCATAAACCTGGGTTCAAGTTGCATGTTCTAGTGCTCCAGCACTTGTTTTGCTTGGTAATGTATCATACATATAATGCCTTGTTTGTTGTTTTCCATAGCGAGTTGAGATTTTCGGTTGACATTATCTTATTTCAGGCTGAGAGTGGCTTGTTAACAGAGCCTTTGTGGGATGTTGCTACAATTTCTTATCCGTATCCGAATAATGCAATGTTTGTTCGTGAGTATACCATAAAACTTTTGGGTACTTCCTTTCCAAACATGACTGCATCAGAGGTATCAAATATATGATTCATTAGTTATTTGAATTTTCTTTTTCTTTTTTTAATATTTACTCGGTGGTTGTTGACTTGAAAGGACATTTCTTTATAGGTTACTCAATTTGTGAATGGATTATTTGAGTCGAGAAATGACCTTTCCACAGTTAAGAATCACATACGAGACTTTCTTGTGCAGTCAAAAGAATTTTCAGCTCAGGTGACACTTGGAAGTAGTATATATGTCTTGTCTTGTGTTGTGCTGCTCAACTAGTTTCCGATATGTGCTTTACATTTTATTTGAACTATTCTTGGTATCATGAGTCTAATTTTTTATCTCTTCAACTTTTTCTACAGGACAACAAAGATTTGTATGCAGAAGAAGCTGCCGCTCAACGGGAAAGAGAGCGGCAACGAATGCTTTCTATTCCAGGGCTTATCGCNTTCCGGTTCCTTTTTTTGGGAACCTGTACTGTGCGGTTCCGATTCCGGTTCCGGTTTCCCGGAAAAGTGCAGGGTACCCGGAACCGCTCACCCCTACCTTATATTCGAATGTTAATTACCATTTTGCCCACGCCATGGTAATTTCACGAAGTATTAATGACCAATAGAAATTTAAAAGGATGACATAGAATGAATGTCTGTCGACATTAAAAGACTGAAGACTCACGTCTAAAGTATTTGATTTCATCATCTCTGAAATCTTCGCAGAAGGAAGATCCGAGTATCGCCCTTGTTTCAATTGAAAAACTTCATGGAACTTATGTCCAACATGATGTAATAAAGCAGCTGATTGCTCTGTAAAAGGAGGAAAAGTGTGACACATATATAAGCTATTTAAATGGCCAGAAACTCTTTTAAGCTCAGCCCACTGAACCGAACAAGTAGTTGTATCAGTATTTTAGCCATTTTATATATTGATGTTTGATTTTGACACCAACGACTTACACATAAAGAGTGCTAAGTGGACTTAGAAATCACACGTGATAAGGAAACATAAAATGAAACAATGAATGAGAAGCTATATTTAAAGTGGTTTGAATGCTCAAAAGCGTATCCTACGTCCACTGCTATTGTATTAATAGATGGATAAAATTAAGTCGTGTGTAGCGAGCTAAGTTATAATCTAGAGAGAATACAAAAAGAGAGAACATGTGTAACTTATTTTAGACTAAGATTAGTCAATCCCGTAGATGAGAGGGATGTCTTCTATTTATAATGGGAGGGTTCAAGGTAATGATTACAAGTCTGCAAGTGGGTAGGTGTCGTGCAAATCCTTCTTTGCATCCCATTGGTTATCTGCACGAGAAATATCCTCAAATTGCGTAGGACTCGAATAGGTGGATAATTCCTAACCACTCGCAAACCTGGCACTCACTTACTGCACTGACATGAACCATACCCCTTGCGTCACAGCGCGAAGTGGTAGCGCCTGGACGGCACAAAACCTTCCTGAACCTTGATTCGCTCTTGCTGACGAGAGTCCACATCAGCCCTAACTTTTCATGCATAACAGAAGTCCCTCAGTTTTTAAGGTTTAAGGATTGAACCGTAAGAACTTCATAATTATGTCGCGAGTTGACCTATTCTGAATGACGCTTGGTCGAGCTGACCGAGCTGTAAAGAGGTCGCAGCACATATCTTTACAAGTGACTTGAGATGCTCTTCTTCCACAAGGTCGACGACTTGGATCAAGCCCCACTCAGTGTCGTACTGATGTGCTTCAAGTCTCAACCGCGGTCCGTGACCTGATAATATTTAGCATATTTTTTACCAAAGACAAGGAATCACATTGTCTCATAATCAATACACGACAAAGAGTGTTATGCTCTAACGATCTTTTCAGATGTTTATCCGTTGCATTTGACAGCTAATCCGTTTAATAAAATATTATTTATTCTAACAAACGTGTCTAGTGCGCATTAAATGCAAGTCATGCTAAAACGACATTTTATTTCAAGGCATTAAATATAGATGAGGGCGCATTTAATGTGGAGGAGAGAATCGAGTCATCACTTGGTTATTCCAATGGAGGGAGGCGTGGACTGACATTCTCAAAGTGTGGCAGTTACTTCTTCTCGCAGATTGATGAAACGTGGTCGCAATCAATGGCGAGAAACGTATTTCACCCAAGCGTTGCTTAACTTAAGGAAAATCAATCGTCGCTTCCTTCCCCTATAAAACCCTAGGCTCGCCTCAAACATTGTCACAAAACTCATATTTTCAGAGAAAGAATAAAGCTCTCACAAGACCAGTCTTCCCATTTTCCAGCTGGTACACACATTTTGTTTACAGCAAGAAGCCCGTTCCTCATAGCCAAGAGGTAAGGAGGATTTCTCCTTTACTTTTCTTTTTCTACTTTGTAAATAGCTTGTCTTGACGATGATGGTGGGTGTGAACTGTTTGATAAATCTTTGTGGTGCGTGTTTATGGGCAATTGTGAGGAGAAGACTTTTTCTTTCATAAGAAGTAAGTATTTAGGGCACGAATCCTCGGGGGTGGTCCCCAAGGGTTTTTTAGGGTTTGAGGAAGGCACGAAGACTGAGTAATCTCTGCATGTCGCCCCTTTTTCAGACTGTAGGAACAATGGATGCCTCAGCAACCAAGACAACCGAGGGAACGAGCTTGCATGCGCAGGACACCCCAGCAGGTCCCGTGCAAGAGATTCTGTTAGTTACCGCCTAAGATGAAATATAGAAGGCAGTAGACCAATACGCACTTAGCGTGGATGTCTACCAGTACAGAACGTATACAGCTCGGAATCCCCCAGAGGGAATGGCTGCAATCTCCGAGGTGATTTTCAAATGCGGGGCGTTGATACCTTTCCACCCCTTCATTAGGTCAATCCTCGATCACTTCGAGGTTGCACCACTGCAACTGATACCCAACGTGTATATGATAGTTGTTGCTATGTATATCGCATGTGGTGAGAATGGCCTCAGCCAGTTGACTGGACTAGAGCTTGCATACTCCTATTACTTGAAGAAGAGCAAGAACAAAGACTTTTTTTACATCGCGAAACGATCTATGATCGAGGGAGGCATATTTAGTTACCTTAGTAATGTTAGGGCCTATGAAACATAATTTTTCTTTTTTCAATATGATGGCGTCTACCAATTTAGGGAACCGAGTAGGTTTTCCCCTCTTTTACTTTGCGAATTTTTTCTTTTCCTTGAATCTTTGCTCTCTAACGAGCTTTCCGGTCTCTTTGCAGGAAACAAGACAACCAGGTTGTCGACTCTAACTGATTTCAACCGAATAGTAGCATTTGGTAATCTGCCCGAGCAAAGTCGAGACGTGAGACTGCTTGTGACTACCGCCAACCTGAGGAAATACGGTTTCTTCAATTCTAAAGCTTCTCTAGAACCCTTAGTTTGTAAGTGTCCGTAGGCTTTAAAAGTTGTTTCTTTTGCATGTAGTGACCTTTTTCACTAATCATACTTTCATGTAGCGACCATGCCACCTAGAGTCCCAAGACTGTCGATGAGGGCCAGGGGGTTCGTTTTTCTCCGGGTTGCCCCCATTGAGCCAGCCAAGGCAATCCCTGGCGACACCCCTATCAAAGGAGCACAGGTGGGAGCGTGAACACCCACAAAATGACCAGGGGAAACTTCCCGACCCGCGGCTGCTCGCGTCCCTAAGCAAAAAACCATGGGCCAAAAAACTAGGAAGAGAAAGCAACTACAGGCTGAGGAATTAGAGTCCGAGCCAAAGGGCTTGGGGGTGTAGCCTTACCAGGCCTCTCGTTCGAGGGTGACCCCAAAGCCTGCACCTGGCATTACAATAGCCCCAGAGCGCTCGCGCAAGGGACAGGGGGAAGTCATAGTCCTCAAAAGAAGAGTGGACAAAGAGCCGGCTGGCGAGGTGCTAACTCCTTCAAGGGCTGACACACCTGTGTTGGACTCCACGGAACAACTTTCGAAACACTTGTAGCCAGTGGCGTATACCCTGTTAGAGTACCAACTTGATGCGGCTTTTGAAGAGTTCGTGGCTTCCTGACCTATAGACCTGATTACTACAGCGCTCCAGTTACAAAGCTAGGTAAGGCAGCTCATCCTCGTCGAGGATTTTTCAATATCAGTTTGTTTTTATACTCTTTATGTTTTTTCAGAGAAATAGAGTTTAACTCTTGTTTCCTTTCTCATGCAGTCTCTGCTCGCCCTGCACTTGGCCCAACAGAAAACTGACCTGGACTCTACTGGGGAGCTCCACGAGTTGAGGGAAGAAAATGCAAAACTAAAGTCGGACCTAACAGCTGTGGATGCAGAGGCAAAGACATATCACATTCAAGCAAACCAGTACCTAGTAGAGAGGAACTCTGCCCTTTGCACAATAGAGTTCCAGAAGGCCGAGTTCTAGAGGAGAGGAGAAAAGATCAAAGAGCTCCAGAGGCCAGTGGCTAGACTCACCAAAGAGTGTGACGAGAAAGAGCAGGAGCTACAAGCAAACTCCGAACGGGCTATGAAGGTAGAGGAAGAAAGAGCTCGATTGTAGGAAAACACCAAGGAGCAGAAGAGAGCACTGGAGGCGGACCTCAAATTTTCCTAAGGGCGGGTTGCTTCCTTAACTGATCAGATGAAACGGCAAAGCCTGGAAATTGAGAGGAAGGCCACTGACCGGGTGATTCAGGCCATCTATAGCCTGGGGCCAAGGAACTGAGGGTGTTCACGATCCGAGTTTTTAGCTTAACAAGCTCGGCTCGTGAAAAGGGATTAATAATCAAGTCGAGCCAAGTCGCAGATTTTATGGCTCGGCTCGTGAGGGATTTAGGAATATTTTGAGCTGGCTCGCGAGCCAACTCCAAAAAATTCAATTTTTTTTTTTTAAATTTCTTGGGCAGCACGCAGGTTTGAATGTCTGATCATTTGATGCTTTTTGTTAAATTTTCATGATTGATTTTCATTTTTCGCCATCCTAAAACAACTTCTAAATTCTACAGATTGTAATTTTTTTCTTCTCATGTCCTCATACATCACCCAACAATTAAACCTACTTAAAATAAAAATTAAATGAAATGCTACTGATAAAAACAAT